TTATTGTTGCTCCTCTATGCCCCGCCTTTTTGAAACGCGTCGATTTTTAAAAAAGCTCATCGTCTGAAAAGCGAGGTATGCTCTGATTGGCCATAGCTGTTTTAGGTAGGTGTAGGGTATCAGACCGATTCAGACAATTTAAGATTCGATCAGATAGGTGTTGAACTACCCAAAGAGCCGAATTCCACAAAGAGGCCCAAGACAACGTCATAAATCCGTCCACGATACCCTGGCGCCATGAGTCTGAAGCAAGTACACCAACTAGCAGCCTTTGAGCAGCTCACAGCATTAAAACAAATCATATTCTTGTTATAGAAATCATGTCCAAAATTATACTCTGCAAGAGCGGGAAAATTCGAGCCATGTGACTAATAAGATCACATGTTGATTTATGAATTGTGAGGAGAAACATACAACACCCCGAGCAAAGACAATATCTAATTGGCCAAGGCTTAGCCACGATGAGAAGAAAACCATCTAGTCTCTTTACTTCTATTCTTCTACTTTAATTTATTTTATTTTCCGTTGAGAGTTTCATGTTCCGAGTTAAGTTTTGCCACAACTCTGTGTTTCCGAGTTCACCTCGAGTCTGTGACCGACCGCTTCAAAACTTCAACCAGCCCACAACTCCGCATCTTCAGCCAACGCCCAACCATTGGCTTCCCAAGACCTCACTTCAGCGACTACTGAACTTCCAGCCAATCAGCAACCTCGGGAAACCCCTTTCGGCAACCAGACAATGAAGGGAACCCCTTACACAGGCAACGCAAGTACCTCCAGATTCTAGCTGAACTGGTGCATTTAATATAAATTTTAACCTCATCGAGGAACTCAATGCGAGGGTTAATTAAGTGATTGATGGTTGTTCATGTCTATGCAATTTCACATATTGCTATAAACTTGGGATTTCATTTTCATTCTCTTAAACTCATTCTTTCCTTACTTTCTCTTTTTCTGCAACTTGTGTGAATGCGTGTGTTCGTGTGTTAGACTAGTTTATATGTCTTAGATTTATCTAATAAAGCCTTATTTATATTGAAAAGAGAAGTATCTTGTGTTTTGTGCTTACAAGTTAATGTCTTAAACTGCCGATAACATTAATGTAATCAAATGAAATATAAAACAAGCTATTTGCCACTGCCAGGGCATTAACGTTTTTATAGAAAATATTTTATAGTTTGTTATAGAAAAACAAGTTATGCTTAGAGTCCAGAGCCTCGATCATAACATTATAACAGGCACCTCAGAGACCTGCACGATCGCGGGACACAGCGCAACAGAGTGCAGCGTGGGACAACACTTGATGGGCGAGTGCGGGCGGGGAGAGACTCGTGTGTCCAGGATGCGGGAGATTAAGGGTGTACTCGCACTAGGCAATCTTAACCGTGCCCGAGCGCGTTTGACCCCCAAAGCCCGGTTCGTTTGACTAGAGTGATCGCTCCGTGCCGCGCTCAGGCGTGGTTTGTTTAGCTGTCCCTGGCTCAGTTGGAGGTTGGCCAGAGCGCGGTTCAGTTATATATAGATCAGTGAGTGTGAGCGCTAACCATGCCGGAGCGCAAAACTTAAGATACGTGCTTGCGTGAACATTTCTGAGCGGCAAGTGATAGATCTGTAAAGCAATATATTGTGAGAGGGCCGTGTGTTACCGCGTCCCAAATGACTCAAAATAATAAACCACAAAGTTAACAAAAAGGCACTCCACTGTGCTGAGCGAGAGCGCTTCTCTGCTGTCTTCACGTGCTATCGGAAACTTCCTATTTCCCACTTATGAAGTCGTGATTACGAGCACATTGCATTATTTTCCGTTAAAAACAACAGTGAAC